ATAAACTCTGCACTATTATTTAATAAGCATATTGATAATGTTGTAACCTTCTCCTGTCGTATGTACGGATTAGTTGCACGTAACAGAAGTGATTTCAAAGAAACTTCGGCTTTAAAAACTCTATTCTACGCTTTCACAAGTTCAAAGTTAGAATACGCTTCAGTTGTGTGGAGCCCCTTTTATCAATAACATATAGATAGAATAGAAGCAATTCAACGATGATTTGTCAAACTGTTTAGCCTAAAAACTGATGGTATTTATTCACCAATAGGCACGACCCACTCTGAATTACTACAGAAGTCAATCTCGAAAAAAGGCGTGGGTATTATAGTGTAGTATTACAATGTCACTGTTTTTCGAGTTTTCGATTGAGGTTCACCGCTTCTTCTTTTCTGTTGTAATTCTCCGTGTGTTTGTGGATCTCTAGTGCCTCCCGTACCAGTCGGCTATAGTATCCCTGGTTGGGGGCAATTAGTTCTGTGTTTTCAAATAAAATTATGTGGTCTCCTTCACTAAGCGCGTGTTCTGCCACGGCTGACTTGTCCGCTTGGCCTAGTCTGCAGTTCCTTTTATGCTCTTTCAGTCTTGTTCCCATGGATCGTTTGGTGGTTCCGATATATACCTTTCCACAAGTGCACGGTATGCGATAGACCCCTGCTGCTGATAATGAATCCCTTTTGTCTTCAGCCGACCTGAGGCTTTGTTGTATCTTCCTCGTGGGTTTGAAGACTGTTTCGATGTCGTCTTTATCCAATAGTTTTCCAATTATGTCCGTGACCCTAGGGATAAACGGTAGATATGCGCGTGCAACCATCAGATCCTTTTTCGCTTTTTGAACCGTGGTGCTCTTCGCTTTCATGGCTTTCCTGATCTCGGAGGCACTGTATCCATTCGATCCCAAGGTCACTTCAAGATATTTCAGTTCCCTCTCCAGATGTTCTGGTTTACAGATTCTCCGAGCCCGTTCCGTCAGAGTGGAGATGACTCCTCTCTTCTGGCTTTTGGCCACGAACATTTGCGTCCAGTTAGTCTAAATGTGATTGGTACCTAAGTTTGAGGTAACCATAATAGTAGATCACCTCCCGTGATCTACTCTCTTACGTTTGCATGTAATAGCTGTCTCTGTCCATTTGTTGCACTGTGTGCACCTAAAAATACAGCCCTATTTTGTCCAGTTGACTCAATGGACAGTATTCAGTGAGAAGCTCTAGTTATTCTGAGTCGCTCCCTACTTTTTTGAAACAGTTCGTCTGTTCTCCTCTCAGACGGTCCTTCCATTAAGCGTTTCTTTTGTCTGTTTGCAAATATATTTTTCTGGTACTTTTTGTGTTCAGTACTGGTCCTTTTCTTGACCATATTCCGACTTTAGTACTCGTAAAGTTAGTTTAGGACCAATATGGAGCTGATGATCCATTCTAGCATTCTAGCATCAACTTTCTCATTGCCATTCTTTGAAGCGAGTGCTATATTTCTGAATTTTATCAATTCGAATCATACAATTGATTCTTTCCCATTTTCTGAGTTCTGTATTATATTGTATCACTTCTTCACCTTCATTTAGAGAAATGCAAACTTTTAGTGTACCTTAATCATTTTCTGATGTCAAATGCCAGTAAGAATTTGTGAATTTTGCACGGAAGAATGGATGCTTCAGAAGCAGTTTTATGTTTTTCCTTCGTCCATTTCTTGATCAGATACCAATTTTGATACTCCACAGTTATTTTAGAACCTGATCACAGTTATTTTAGAGCTGATCATCCATTACAATATTCTCACCAGCTTTCTTATTACTACTATCCGATCTACTCAAATCATAGTATTCACATATCAAAATATGAATATTGAGATTTTAGGAGCTTGTTTTCTACATTGTCTCCAGCAGGAAAATAGGTGAGGCTGATGTTAGGATAGGACTATAGTTTGGCCATTAAATGTCTCAAATGTTTTAATATATCGATAATGTTATAGGAATGGAATAATTCAACCTTTCAGAACGTCGGCGTCGGGTTCTGAGAGGTTTGAAAATTTCGAGGGTCCACTCGGGATGTAAAGATTTATTCCTTTACGTTTTCACCAGATCTGTGGGCTTTGCAGTTTTTATGTGTTATCCTCCGTCCGTTTTCTTGATCTGATCCCGATTTTGGTACCCTCACAGCTAGTTTAGGAGCAAATGATCTATTCTAGCATGCTCATCAGCTTTTTCAGTGTCATTGTTTTAAAGTATAAAACTACAAGTGCTAATATCCGATTTACTTGAATTATAGCATTCATATATCAAAATTCAAATGTTGAGATATTTGGAGCCTACTTTATCCATTGAATACAATAATTGTACTACGGTAAATTTATTCAATAAAGTCATTTCTAATCTCGATAGACGTGAAAAAACGATTGTTCTATTCTACTTTCGACACTGTTGATCACGATTTACTTTTGAGCCTGTTTTGTCTAGGAATTCGTGGCTCATCTCTGGATTGGTTCAGAACCACTCTAGAACCTGTGTGTTCCCACCGGTTTTCCCCAGGGTAGCGTCCCATGACCTATTCTCTTTCTTTTATTCGTACATGACCTCAACAACAGTAACTGTCAACATTGTACAGTGCAATTTGCCGACGATTCTTCGTTCACTCTGAAGTCTTCAGATAATGAGGGATTGTCGAGTCAGGCCAATCAAGCAGTTGCTAATATGCAAAAATATTTTTCTCAAAATGGTCTCATTTTGAACAGCTCAAAAACTAATACAATCGTCTTTTCATTACATGAGAATGATCGCAGTGTTCTGGTCAAATAAACGGCAAGTTAATACAACAAACCTCATCTGTAAAATTTTTAGGTTTGAACATTGATGCTCAACTCTCTTGGAACAAGCACATTGATTATATTTTGAGTAAAATGTCGAAACAATGTTTTGTAATTCGTAATCTCCGTAATGATGTTCCATTGAATATATTGAAGAGATATTACTATGCTTATATTCAATCTTCATTCAGTTATTGTCTGATCAACTTTGGTAACTGTACAAGAATAAACGAATTGCTAATAGCTCAAAAAAAGATAGTGAGAACAATGTGTTTCAAAAAATATGATGACTCATGTAAGGAGCTGTTTACCGATTTGGATATTTTAATCATTATTTCACTATATATATTCAACTGTGTTGATAATGTCAAAACTCATCTCGACAAAAATATGAATTAAAATGAAAGCTACAATATATATGCGTTAAATAAGGAATAATCATAAAATTTTATTTGAGAATAAACGTGGTGATCTTAGGTTAGAAACACATCACTTGTCAATTTATTAACATTTTCAAGAAGAAGTAGACTTGGCATTTGCCGCTGGTGCAATTAATCAAAGAGTTACAGTTGTTTTCAGAAGAATATATATATAATTATTTGTATTGTGAATTTTTATATTTTAGTTTAATTGCCTTTTTTCATGCTGTAGGTAGGTAAATCTAAAGTGAGTGGGTCTATTCGACTCTCCACCGCAACCCATAAGGGTTCATTGTGGCTCACACCTATTCACACTCGGCCAAATAAACCCAGCTTCTCAACGAAGCCGATTAGTTTATATGGTGAGTGGTCTTTCAGGTCAGATGGTGAGAGTACGGATCTGCCGAACTCAAAGAACCTGATTCGGTCCCCAGCGGGGCAGGCACAAAGTATATGCTCTGCAGTTTCATCATTTTCCAGACAGAGGCGACACACACTGTCTTCCGACAGTCCAAGTCTCTGCATGTGATGATTCAAATGACAGTGACCTGTAAGGCCTGTCAGACATCGTAGTTCATCCCTACTGTAGTCCAACAACTGTTGGGAATCAAGCTTCGAAGGGTGAATAAACGCCTTGGAGTGAGCCAATCCTGGAAGATTCTGCCAGAAGTCTTCCATGCTGTAGAGTATCTGGAAATAAACTGATTTGATTTGATTTGATTTCATAGAATACGTGATGTTGCTGTAAGTATAGTATGTCTACTATAGTATAGTATGTCTCCCATGTTAAGGAAACACCTCCACAATAGACTGACGTAGGAGGACAACTCCTTGGGAAGAAGTACAATGAGTCACATGTGGCCTAAGTATATTCCAAGAAAAACGACAGCTAGATGGTAATTTCACAGCTGTCAGTTTTATCGCTATTGGAAAGAAGCGTTTCATAGCAATAAAAATCTGTTTTGGTGGCCTAGCCTTCAATTTTTCCATCGTTTCATCTGTTTGAAGGAAGAAAACCTTTCGGTATTAAGAAGAAGAAGCTGTGTTAGATCTCATACACTTGATCCATTTGCATTTTCCGAGTTTTGTATTTTTATTGTAATACTTCTTCATGTTTCCAAAAAATATCTACAACTTCATTTCGAGGAATACAAAAGTTTAGTGTACCTATTCAGTCAAGCAACATTGGGAATTCGTAAACTTTGGACGGAAGAATCGATGCTATCATGTACTTGGTATCGTACGTTAATAGTTAAGACCCCGCTTTTCCGTAACTTGAACAATTTTCTTCAATTATTCAAACCAACTCATGAACTACTTTTATGTAATGATGAAATGTATCAATCTATATAAAATCCGATGCAGTCATTTATTTTCGTCGGTCGTTGCCTCTGTTGGGAATGCGCTGATGAAATTAAAACCTAATTCTCGAAATTGAATTCCATTCTTGCTCGACCTGTCGGAATTGAGTTAAGTGGTCAATTGCGGGACCTTTGTCCTACGAAAAATCCAATTGACCAGACCTACATCAATAATTAAATCAACATTCGTGTTGCATCGCCAGCAACGCGAGCCATATGATTCATTTTCCTGCTGCTGCGAAATGTCCCTGAAATCGGAAGCTCCCTTCGGCCTAGGTTGGATGAGTTCTCATAAAAGAATCGCTGAAAGGTGGAAAAAGTAGCGCGTACTTGGTTAAATTACCCTTCACGGATGAGGAGACATGAATTTAAATGAATCGTGGATTTATCGGGTTTTGAGCGACCCATTTTCGATACTTACCCCCTTACAAAGATAAATAGGTCAGCATTGCACTTGGAGACACACCCACGGTTATTGACTGGAGTAGATGGTTAATAAATTACGTTCAATTGTTCCTGGCACCTTATTTAGAACTAATCGCCGATATTTATGCGGAATATTAATGAGGTTCACTGTACACGGCCGACTCATTCGATGCACTAACAATTTTCCGCATCGCTATCCAGTTTATAACAATCGACAATTCCTTTTTGGCAGTTCCGTCGTCGGATAATCAGCGGTTGAGCTCGTAATTTTCGTCATTGTTGTTTTATTGACCCAACAAGGGGATGGCAGTAGGACCCGCGGGTTGAGCCGGTGACGTAAATCATTCGCGAAAAATCGCCTGGTTCACTGCCGGTTTACGTTACGGGCATCGTTCGCTTTTTTTATCTACTGATCGACTAGTTTTGCAATCTAGTTAGCGGCGGTGTCTCATGATCGTGCGTGAGTCGGACTAATTCATTCATTGACTGTGTTCGATTGCCGCGCACGCGCTCTTTTCCCCACTCGCCCCCTCGCGGAACACCTTCGCGAAAAGGATGGACGTCGAATTATATATTTGGGGTGTCTTTTAGCGTTTCGAGCAGGACCGTCGCTGCTCTGAACGAGAGGGGGTTTTCCCAGTATCGTTTTTCAGGAAAAAATGTGGAAAATTACCAAAAAGCAGTTGCATATATAAAGGGGTTGACAAGAGAGTCTGGGCCTTTCGCAATATGATATGAGAGAGATAAAAATAATAATAATAAACGATTTGAAGCACTTTTTTGGGTCGTTATAGTCAAATATATGCTGGAATTTGGAATAGAAACATCACAAAATCAATTTTTTTGGAGTACTTAGATTCAAGAATTCTGAAATTTTACTCAATGACCAAATACAGGGAGTTTCCAAGTTATGGTACAAAACTCTAGAGGGTGATTCGTTAGATCATTTTAAGAAAAAAAGTTCTCATGGACATATGTCCGGAGTTGCTTCCATTGTAGATAAAGGGCGTTGAAGTTTAATGAGAACGGTATCTATAAAATATTGGTGATTTGGTGAAAATTTGCTGAACTTATTTGAAATAATAAGGCGCTCATTTAGCCCGAACTAGATTTAAATTATTAGGCCGAATGGCGTCTCAGTGGGCAACACAGCCAACAATATTGAGAAAAAAATTCCACTGACTTTTTTTGTAGTTTTTTTTTAGATTAATAAGCAACTAAAAATACAATTTTTTCGTCGCTTGTGTTTTCTCCATATCAAGCTTCTTTTCGAGAAAAAAAATCACTTTTGAAAACTATCCATAGACAACATAAAGTTAAATCTAAGAGTAATAAGTAATTTCAACCTTAAAGTAAATGAGGAAAATGTCCACCTTCTGATGAAGTACACGACTGTAATCGATTCGTCATTGATTATCTGGAGTTTTATAAACGAGAGCCGTCAGACGACCCCATAAATATAAATCTAGAGGATTCATATCAGGACTGCGAGCTGACCAATTTTGAGGTCCTGCTCGTCCAATCCTGCGATTAGAGTGGGTGGTGTCGAGATGCTGACGGGCAAGAACACTAAAATGAGCCGTCGTGCATAAACCACATGTTGCCTCTTACAAGTACAGACACTTCTTTTAACAAAATGGGTGAAATGATCTCGCAAAAAAAGTCCATGTAGGACTGTTAATCTTGCTGGTAGAATAGTGGTCCAATAAGGTCACCAATCATTCCTACCTAAACATTCAGCTAAAATTTTTGCTGAAAATTACTTTTTCTAATAACATAGGGATTTTCGTCGACCCAAAATAGTCATTGTGAAAGTTCATAATAGCATCTCGTGAAAAATTTGCTTCGTCCGTAAATAAAATATTTGGTAAAGTCTTAACCAATTTATCAATCAACTTCAACTTCATATTTTTTTACAACGAATACCTGCTTGGATAAATTTGTCTCAAAACTTTAAAAGACCCTTTGCACAAATAGTTGACGTTTTCATTGAAACAGCAATCATTATCAAGACAAAGACCAGGTTGTTACTGTCTTAAACAAAGAAAATAAAATCGTTATTTATGTGCAAAGATCAAGATCTTTTTTAAAACAGATATCTTCCTTCTGTGTCCTAAAATCCTAAAAGTATAGTTTGCGACTTTTCTGGATTAGTTTTCAGGTTATAAGCACATGAGATATCGAATAATTATTGTTTTCAGCTACTTTCAACACTTACATATTATATAGTTGAATATAATTAACAGAAATGTAAGTGCAAGTACAAAACAGACCCTTGGGGAGCTCATAAGATTTTCAAAGGAGATATAGAAAAATTGTTGTCAAATATTACATTAGAGTACCTTCCAGTTGAATAGCTATTCGAAACTATTTATTTAGAACGTATCTTAGGTTTTTTCACAAAATTAAGGAATCCAGCATTTCGAAAGCCTCACTATAGTCTAATAAAATGGGAAATGGAAGTACTCCTTCATCATCTGCTTTGATAATATTATCAGCTATTTAAGAAAGTGCAGTGGAGGTACTAAGTTGTTTGTGGAATCCCGATTAAACATCACCCATAAGACCGATCTCGTTAAGGTAATTTGTGATATTTTCTTTGATTTACATTTCGAAAGCTTCCGAAATGGTAGGAAAAATAGATGAGATTCAAATCCGGGTATTTCTGCTGGCCCATTACAATTGGAAATCAATAATAGGTTCAAATTCAAAAACAGGCACTAATGACTGTTCGACGTGTGGGGTATCAGATAAGACACTTATAAATATTATTCAATACTTGCAATGGTTGCTCAGTCGTTTATTATTAGACATACAAAAACAAATCCTACCTACTTCGCCATGTTCAACATGTGGGGTGTTAGAAAACACACTTATAAATATTATTCGGTATTTGGAATGATTCTTAGTCGCTTATTAATGTACATACGAGAACAAATCCTACCGACTGCACCATGTTCAACGGGTGGAGTCTTACATAAGACACTGGAATAATATTTGATACATGGAATGGTTGCTTAGTCGTTTATCAATACAATTCCTACAGGAATTGACATATCTAACATCTACATAAGGGTTAATTCACATTATATCAAACAATGCTCTCTGATTCAAATAGTCCAAAGCCGGCCCTGTGTGCATGGTACACAGGTTTTGAGAATATGATCGGGCTTTTATCTTCACAGAATTCTGATTGTGTTTTCTAGCGTGAAAGGTTATTCTCCCCTATCGCCCTCGGTACAGGTTGTGCACTACAGGTTGATACATAGGGCAGTGCAAACCCCGCCACCCTAAAATCATGCCGAGGGGGATGATTATTGTCGAATCGGGGAGATTGTATTGAGGTGGCTTACCGACACAGGTGAACTATTGCCGAAGATGAGAATCGGTGAGAGAATAATAGAAACAGGTCTATATACAAGGAGTAACATTATTTTATAGTTATCCGGATGGTTCACCCTCTATTAATTCAGTTTTCATTTTATTCGCTCATACAACACAAAAAGTAAATCCACATTGTTCAGTAATTCGCCACTGAAAAACTAATGACTAACTCGTTATTATATAATCATTTTCCCAATCCGTGACTAGATAAAAAGTAGCCAAACTTTTATTTTTCTTTTCGTTATGATATGATATTCAGAATCGATAAAATATTTTATGTCTACTTATTTTTTGAATATAAAGTGAAATTTTGTTTCTCTTTTGGAGTTATTGCCCTCTATTTACTAATCATCAAAACATGATTCACTGTCATCAAGTTGTTCACATGTATCTTTATTCAATTCATGCATTACTTTCAAATAGAGATTCTAGATGGTGCTCTGGTAATTGGGTCATTGGGTTTTCTTATGTTTGATCTACGTTCGTTTGTAAATTTTAAATGTGAATTCGCTTATTAGTGAACAATCAAGGACAAAATATATTCTTCGAACTTGTAATATACAAATTTGGGGTGGTCAAAAATGAATGTGTAAATAAAATGAAGACTTTATTTACATTTTCCTCCCGAAAAATAAACAATCAGGAAAAGCAAGATCCTCAATGCGATCCATCATTAAAGTTTTTGTCAGTTTTATAGGTAGAAAAACGTTTCCCACACCAAAACAAAATTGTTGTCTCGATGCGCATTTCGTCTCTAATAAGTTATCACTATCAGGCAATGACTAACACCAGTCTTAGGTCCAGTCTAAGACTGGTCTTAGTCATTTCCTGATGATGCTAATAACATGTTTAGTTAAACCCGTCTTCTAAGACAGTATTTTTGTTCTGGTGAGAGAAATATGTTTTCAATGGATTATTTTTTGTTTAGGTAACCGCTCAGTTATACTTCTAGAATAGTTCTCTAATAATCCTGCAGAAAGTAAGCAATTAGAATTTTGTATTTCATTGTCAACCACCTTCAAACAATTAGAATTTTATTTTGTATCTCGATATTTGAATCACGAAATTCTGTCGCTGAGCTCCATTTCTGGAGGCATGGGCAACAGATAGATTGTGTAAGAATCGAAATCTGTCACGCGTTAAGATCATTAATTTATGGACCAATTAATTCCAAAATGTAGACAACAGTAAAAATTGAAGTTCTTCTTTACATTTCCAAGCTGCATTTCTTGAGTTGTACTCAGCAACTCTGTGAATGAAATGCTAAAATTTATTGAATCTCTTCAATATTTTTTCATTAAGAGTGTCATAGGTCGAGAGTTTTCGGCAAAATATTTCACTTGGGGAAGGGGAAGAAGTGATCATAAGGGATATTCTAGGCATTTTGCTCACGTGACTTATGAAATTATCAGTGTGAATTTCCTGGGCATAGTCCATATACAGTTTTCATCAAGTGCCTAATATATTCACATCCCGGTTCATTTATCGGTCTGTTGGTCCAAAAGTAATACTCAAAATATGATAGGTAGGTACATGAAAATATTTCATGTACTTGAGAGTGAACTTGTCTTAAAAGTCAGGCATATTCATTATATTGGTTCACTGACTCTTCTATTCAGTTTACTTGAGAATGGTTCAACAAACCGAAACCGGTCGTAACAAATAAGAAACTCAGTAGAAATCAGACAAAAGTTACTTTCTTTATCTTTATCTTATACTCAATATGAATTTCTACAAAATAAATAGGTCATCCATCGAACAAGTCTCCTGTTCATGATTTACCACTGACTTTGTTTATTGTGAAAATTAGTATTTTAAAAAATGAATTCAACAACTACTATTTTCGCTTGTTGCTGTAGTATTTTAGTACAATGAACCATGTGTTCCCTGAATTGATGATTCAATTATAATATCTAGATGGCGCTCACTTCGTGAAAAAAGTTGTCAAGTTCAAATCAAACAAAATGTTCTATTGTTAGGTTTCTGTTTTCTCCTTTGTGTTTCATGAAATTGACATTTTCTGGATTGTTGGACACGTTTAAAAATCCCAATCCAATCGTTAATTGATTTAACATATAATCATCCGACTTTCCAGTTTACACAAACTCTCATTTGGTTCCCTTTTGCTTGGTCCTATAAATTTTTTTTATCGTAATGTTTTTGATCTGAACTCCAAAATGATTTACTAGAATCAATCCATACGTTTTGATCAGTATTTTCTAAACTATTGTTCTTCTGATAGAATTTAAATTAAAACATGGCAAGTCCTAGAACTCGTCGTCTTCTACAAGAGCTAAAGCCTCACAATGAAAATGATGTAAGTAACTCATTATCATATATGTGGTCTCTTCTTGCATAAATATGAAAGTTTTCAATAACATCTTCAACTTCCTTATTCCAGAAATGCTTCGAGTGTGGACTCCATAACCCTCAGTGGGTTTCGGTAACATATGGCATATGGATTTGCCTTGAGTGTTCTGGCAAGCATCGTGGCTTAGGAGTGCATTTATCTTTTGTGCGCTCCATAACTATGGATAAATGGAAAGACATAGAGTTGGAGAAAATGAAAGTTGGTGGTAACAGAAACGCAAGAGTATTCTTCGAGGCGCAGCCAGATTGGGAAGATACCATGTCCATTCAACAAAAATACAACAGTAAAGCAGCTGCATTGTACAGAGATAAGGTAAGAGTGTAGGTACTTCTAAGAATTGATCAAGAAGTGCGAGAATTCTAAAATCACGTTTATTTAGATATCTGCGCTAGCTCAAGGAAAGTCATGGGACGAACAGAAGTCTCCTGCTCAAAATTACAATAGTAGCTTTGTAGGACCTTCCTCTCAAAAAAACAGCTCAAGAGAAACTCATTCCACGTCAAATTTCACTAGATCTTATTCCAACAGTACCGAAAGTTACCAAGGTGCCTACCAAAATTTAAATTCACCAGAGTTTCGGAGTCAGACTGAAACTTTCTTTGAGAGAAAACAGTCCGAAAATGCTAATCGGAGAAGGTAAGTTTGAAGTTTCTTATAGGAGTTGATTATCTGTATTGTTGATGTTTAACGTCTTCTTGGATTCAGAAAAAGTCTCAAAAAGACGGACAATTTTGGGGTTTATCAGAAGCAGGGCTCGAACACTAATCACAAAGGTGAAGTTTGGCACAACCATCAATTCACAAAAATATGGCTATGCAAATTGATTCATTTCAGTAACTTACTTTTGCCTGTGGAATTTTGCAAAATGCCGCTTTATATCAAACAAATTTTTCAATTTCCTCAAAACTACATTTCATAGAAAGAAAAAAAGAAAGAAAGAAGAAAATGTATTCATTCATAGACCAACTACATGGTATCGAACATGTCAAATTATGCTTGATAAAATAATTATCCAAAGTGGACATATTAAAAAAAACAAAAATTAATAAATAAGTTGAACTGTTAATGCAGACTTGAGAATAAATATGTAAACAAACAAACATGTAAATATACATGTTATATATTCCAGCTACGATTCAACATACATTATATACACATAAACATAGATCCCTGAAATATAAATATATATACACATATGTATAAATAAAAATGTAAAAGTGTTAATCAAAATATAAAAGAATAAGATTATTCACACATAAATATCCACAAAAACTCAATCATTGAAATATTTTTAGAATGTATAATAAGTTTCTTCCTATGAAATCATTTTCCACACTAAAAGATAACAACAAGGGAATTTTATGTTTTTTGAGATTGTTTTTATTATCTTTTTCAATCAAGCCTGAACAGAAATTTATTTTCATCCCATATACTGAGATAAACCATAATAAACTTTAAACTGTTATAATTTAATTCATCTATCAGCTACTGTGACATACCTATAATTGCTGTTCTGTACTATTGAGCCTTTCCGACTAATAATCATCAACAGTTTGTCCATATTCAAGCTTCCTGATATAGCCTTCATTTTTTTTTATTTCAGTGATCTCCCACCAAGTCAAGGCGGTAAGTACAGCGGTTTCGGATATACCAAAGAACAACCTCCAAGAAGTCAGTCCCAAGAGTTTGTTGACACTGCCATGTCATCTTTAGCAAATGTAATATGACAAATATTTACCAAATAAATAACTAAAATCGGTTATTTTCAGGGTTGGTCTTTCCTTTCATCGTCAGCCACCAAAATAGCAAGTAAAGCAACTGAAAATGCAGTGAAGTATGGTGGATTCGCCAGCCAAAAGGTTGTTGAAATTGGATCTCAAGTAGGAGAAAAGGTAAGTTTTTTCTTTGTTTAGGATTCGCAGTTCCATGAGAGTCCATGCTGCAATATAAATAAATGTATTACTTAAATCTCTTTCATGGAACACTGGTTCAAATTGAGCTATGTGAAGGTTTTTTTTTTTAAAGTGTAGAATATGGCATAATAGTCGAATTTGAGGATATTTGCAGGAAAGCTTCAGAACGCGCTAAATTTCTTTCCAGCAAGCATTCTCTTGAGGTTTGAAAAAAGAAAAAGAAAAAATTCACTGGATGCCAAATCTGGAGAATACGGTGGATGTGGAAGCAATTCGAAGCCCAATTCATGCAATTTTTCCGTCGTTTACATTGATTTATGACGCGGTGTGCTTTGTCTTGACGAAATAGCACTTCATTTTTCTTCAAAAAGGGGCGTTTTTTCCGCAATTTCGTCCTTCAAATACTACATTAACGCTATGTAATAGTCGCTGTTGATGGTTTTTTCCTTTTCGAGATAGTAGATGAATTTTATACCATGCGCATCCTAAAATACTGATACCATAACCATGTAAGTCGACTGTTGCCTCTTTGTACACTTTGGAGTCTGTTCACCACCTGCAGTAGCATGGCTATAAGCCATGGGAGATATATGACTATATGTGTAGTTTTCCTCCAATTTTTGTTAGCAGGTTTCTCTAAATATTTGAATCATGCAATCAGTGAGGATTTTTCATTTCAAAATTTCTTATTATTAGTGGTTTTAATTTGAAATTCATCATTTACCACTGCATTTCTGTTGTTTATTGGCTTTTGTGAAATAATTGAGTAGTTCTTCGAGAGTAACTCAGGTTGGAATGTAGCATTTATAAGTATTGGTGTACTTCATGAGTTTCATAATTTCCTTGTTTTATCCTAGTCAAGTCAACACATAATAAAAGATAATTCTTAAATTGCACCAGATGAAATTAGTAATTATATCCTTGAGGAATGTCAGTTATCTGAGATGCAGATTACCAAGTGATAGTGTCATAAATTTAACTGTTAAGATAAGATACAAATATACATATAAGAGAAAATCTCACTTTACAATCTCTTCCACAAAATCGCAACACGTTTCGTAATAACTCCGTTATAACTTCTTTAAACATGTTCATACTGACTAAATTCTACATAGTGTTTTATATAACAATTTTAATCATATGCCCTTCTTACCTACTTAATGACTAATAACTTTCCCTGAGTTTAGGTATAAATCAATTAAAAGTTTGAATTATAAAAGAAAGTAGAATAATAGGTACCTATATCGTATGTATGAGCTTCCATGGGTTTTTTTTGCTTCTCACCACAAGAGGTCAGATTTCAATCTTGCTGAAGTGCAAGGCGGCAGGTTGAGGACCACTCGGAAGTAAGTGGGGGTGGATCAAAGAAACAGTGATTGTATCTCAGGCTTTTCATCTCCCGGAGGCATGTGGAATGCATTTGTGGTTCAGCCTATCACCACTGATGAGACCTACAGCGTTGTCTTGTGTTAAATCATAAATTTGTTTTGTTTGGGGACTGGTTTACAATTATAAATGAAATTTTACCAACTCATTGAATGGACATTCGATAAACTAAACAGATTCAACACAGAGAAAGAATTCAATTCTATTTGATCATTCAATAAACTTTCAGAATTCTTGAATCCATTAATTTCCAAGTATTCCAAAAGTTTTACTTGTAGGTGAAAAGACTGCCGCAGTATTTTGTGACCTGTCAAAGGCATTCGACTGCGTTGATCACAAAATACTGCTGAGAAAGCTCCAACGTTATGGATGCAGTGGAGTAACTCACAAATGGTTCGATTCCTACTTAATGGGACGGACGCAAATGGTCAACACATCTCAACTTAAAAAAAAAGGAAATTAATTCTGGAGTTCCACAAGGTTCTGTGTTAGGTCCCATTCTTTTCTTATTATATATTAATGATCTCACCAAGCTTAATATTTCTGGGGAGTTCACCTTATTTGCAGATGACACTACCATACTTTGGAATAATAAAAACACTTGTGAGTCGCACAAAATAATCTCTGCCGACTTGAAAAAAGTTAAAGATTGGTGTGACTCAAACATTTCATCTTTTAACTTAACAAGAACAAATTTATTATCATTTAGATGTTCAATCAACGAACTTTTTTTTTGAAGACAGATCCCTGGAATCTAAAAATAACACTAAATTTCTAGGAATCTTCATTGACCAGAATTTAAAATTTGTGAATCATGTTAAACAACTCACTAGAAAAGTCTCCTCTGGCTGTTATGCGGTTAGAGTGATTTATAAAGAATTGGGGTTCAGCACTACCTTTGGCGTACTATGCACTCATAGATTCTCACTTACGCTACGGAATACCGTTTTGGGGAGCATGCAGTCCAACTTTATTCAAAAGTCTATTAATTTTACAGAAAAGGGCAAACATAATATTCTAATGGTAACTGCATTATTTATACTGGAATCTGTGTGTTTAATAAATAAGCATATATTAAATTTTGCTGCATCCTCTTCCCGAAACTGCAGACACACTCTGAAACTCACTGTGCCAACTAAAAACATTACCAGAGCCAATATAAATGACTTCCAATTCAGGAAGTTAGTCAAACAATTTCTATCTGATAGACCCTATTATACTTTGGATGAATATTTTAACGATAGCTTCTAACTAACTTACGCATATTTTTTATCTTTACTTATTAAGGAGCTCTTAAGTTGTTACTTTTTATGTATACTCTTTTATAAACTTGCCTTTTACTCTTTTATATATACATGTCTTTTATATCCTCCATTTTAACATAGTTTGTACCCATGCACTATTTATATTTTTATTTTAATTTCAGTTGGTATGTATTGCATTTTTTTAAGTATATACTACGCAAGCTTTGTCTACACGATTATATCTTATGATAATAAAGCATATTATTATTATGAATATATTTTCAGTTACTGTACATATTGAAATAGTGATATCATTAGTCAGCTCATGATTTTAAATTTCATTTAACTAGGTAGGTGAGTTGAGCAAGAAAGGTTGGCGAGAAGTCAGCTCGCTCAGTAGCGACAACCCAGGCGCATATTCTCAAGTGGGGGGAGACAACTATTCTCCTGGTGAGAAGTCTTCCTTATACAGTGGAGGAAACAGCTATGTTCGAGACGACTGGAGTTGTAGCAGCCAACAAGGTTCAAAGTGAGTGTTAATTTTGATTGTTTACACCACGAGTAGTGAGAGTTCTTTGGGGAATTTTTGTGGTGTTCCACACGGTTCCATTTCATGACTCGAATTGTTTTTGAAGTTCGCAAATTCTTATTTCACTGTGCCAACATGTTTTTCAGTGTATGATAATACTCTGGACTGTGTAGGATATGACAATAAATAAATTAATTTGTTTTTTCTCTTCAGGGCCTCAAGTCCTAAAAGCGCAAGTCAGAACTGGAATGGAACAGGAGAATCGTCGTATAACAGTCCTGTTATGTCGCCAGTTGAAGAGTTCTCGAAGAAATCAGAGGCAAAAAGTAAGGAGGCACAAAATCAAAAGAAATGGAGCGCCGGCTGGGAAGAGGATGCAATGTGGGAAAGTTTGAAGTAATTTATTTTCAAGTACTTAGAATAAATAATTCGTATTGAGAGGGCTCGGTAATAGTATGCGAAGCCTGTTCAGTGTATTGAATTTCTCCAAATATTCAGAACAAATACTTTTTTATTTAGGCATATTTTAATCAATGTGAAACTGTTGCTTTGGAGAATCTGAATGTATTTAAATATTATACCGTGTGTCCATGAAATAAGGCAATTCATTGTTAGCTAAATGAACAATATTCTTGTTTTTTAATAATATGATTTATTCGGCTTATAATGAATTTAGGGACACACTGTATATAATTTTGGTTTCGCTATGGTAGCTGTCTGAAATATATAAAAATTACCATGATGAAATTATCTTTATTGAACTTGTTCTGTGTTCGGAAATAATCTCATGTATGATGTTGATGTCAGTTGTGCTGAAGTAAAGTCAGTCATCCTGAATGTATATTGCTTTAGCTGAATTTTACTGCTTGACAAATTCACTGTAAATACTTCTGGTGCAAACAAGTTTAAATTAACAGGAACATTATTAGTCCCAATTGTATATTGAAATTATTTTTAATTTCATGTCATGCAAAAATAAAAATTTTATTTGTGTATTTGTTTTTTTGTTCCCCGATAACTTCTATAAAAAATAATTTTGAAAAAATCAGCTTTGTTAGTGGGCCTAACTTGTGATCTGGCACTGTAGTGTCCGGCCTGGCTACCGACGTGTTGAAATTGCAGGCGGCATGTAGACCTAAGCAACTACTAGTGTGGTCCACCAAGACTAATGAAATGATATTTGATTTTATAAAATTATTGACAAAGCTTAGTTAAATTTTTAGAGAACTGAAGTAAGGCTGTGTGTGTGGTCATTGAAATGTTTTCATATAAAATGAGAATCAAAACTTTCTATGTTTTTATACCACTTGTATTTGTAACTAACAATACTGCAGTTTTGTCTTACAAGCACATTTACAAACGAATATATTTGTATTCATTTGTTGCTTAATATATTAGCGACTATTTATGTTCTATCAGTATTCAGTTTGAGATTATAAGCTTTCAACTTAACTGTATAAAAAGGTTTTTGAAACTGACATATTGAAATGTTCTGTTATCAATATTTCATAAGATAACTTGAAACTTTTTTAAATTATTTTTTTCGCTAGAATCAACAATATATTTCTTGATGAAACAAATCATTATTATAAAAGGAAAACTACTAGCCTACACCCAAAAGAAATGAATAATTTGAGACACTCGAAATGAAAAATTGAAACAATATTCTGTTCATAGTTGATCTGTCAATTCATATAGTCAATTAACAAAAATTGGATAGAACTGACTGATACTGCATGAAAAGCCATTATAACGTATTCAAAAAAACGTTACTCGTTACGTTACTCAATTAGCTCCTGGTTCAGTACTGAAAATCTTATAGTTTTTCTATGTATAAATTCTCACTTAAGCTACGGAATACCATTTTGGGGAGCATGCAGTCCAACTTTATTCAAAAGTCTACCACAAAACAAAATTCTTAAATTTTTGGCATTCAAGTTAAAAATGCCCTTGAATGACCATTCATTAGATGATATTCGTAGGGTTGCAGATATAATGAAGCTAAGTAGTCGTAGAGTGGAAACTGACTTAAAACTCTTATTCCAATTATTAAATTATCTTATTAACTGCCCTGTATGTTCCTTCTAGAAGTACAAGGAATACAGAAACATTTGCAATAGATTTTCATCATTGTAACTACGATAAACATTCTCCCCTGACTAGAGTTGCTATTGGTAGTAATGAAGTCGATCTGGACTTCTTTCCATTGAACGAAACAAAATTTAAGTTTGCATTACGCTCGCTCAGAAATAAATTATAAATGGTAATAAATATAAACATCCTCAATTATTGAATTTTCCATATCTTAATCATTCATTTATTTAATTAATATTTCAATTCAGTAAATTTATTTTCTCACTGTTATTCTTTATTAATAAATCAGTTTTACTTTTAGCAAGTAAGATAGATGTAATTATTTGTTGTATTCATATAATTTATTGTGAAAGCTCTTAAACTTAATTGGGTGTTACCCGTTAATGAATAATAAATAAATAAACTTTACAGAAAAGGACAATAAGGTATATAAGAAACCTTAAACCAAGAGACTACTGTAGAACCTTCTTCAAAAAACAATATTCTAACGGTAACTGCATTTATTTTAATTTTATTTGGTATGTATTACATTTTTTCAAATATTTACTACCCAAGCTTTGTCTACAAGATTATTTCTTATGATAATAAAGCATATTATTATTATGTCATCAATGCCAGCTCTCAACTGTTTTGTTAAACACCTCACGTGTTTTCACTTCTATAAAAAAATACATTGGTATGTACACGAGGTAGGACAGAGAATTGTACAACGGGTAGGTCAGGAAATTTTACTAAACTGTAAACTTTGGGATTAGGTAAAGACATTTGTAACAATATGCTCTCATCACGTTTATTAACGATAGTGCGACGATAAATACAAACTCTCAAAAATTAACAAAATATAAATATTATTGAATAAATAACGTACGGAATGGCGTAAAGAATTATAATGTTTATTATAACATACAACACAAGTTCCTAACTAACAACTATGGAGTGCTCGCGTAGCGGGCCTTTGAATTAAATAAGCTTAAGTAAACCTAACAGAGACCTCCCGCAAATTCGTCGTCTTCTTCTTCTTGTTTGGAAGATTTGGGTTCAGGCTCCTTACTATCTTCAAGAGTGACTGACTCAGTCACTGGAAGCTGAAAGTGATACACAAATATGACTACAGCCAAGAAAATGGAAATGTATATAGATTTGCTGCTTGAATTCACATATTTACTACCAACATGAAGTAATAACATATTTTATTTGCGTTTGTAACAATGGAAAAAACAACTCGAGTAATTCGACCGTTACTTCATCGCCTTTAATAATGTCTACCGCAGTAGTAGACGGAACGTCAGAAATAAAACCTGAAACAATTTCAAGCACACAAAAATGTCTCAATGTGACAAACTTCTCACCTTGTCAATTTCTGCATTCGATGTTTCATAAAACACCGTTTCCCTCGTACTCTTTACTGGAGACACTGGTATTCCCTCTGGCAGAGGCATGTCCCTCGCCAGAATCGCATACTCCACGTCCATGTGTTTGATGAAAGGGCTGTTCAATGCTCGTTTAGCGCCTTCGGGATCTTCTTCATCATAGGCTTGCAGTAGAGATTCCAGAGTTTGCACTTCAGGACTTTCGCAGTAGTTGCCTGTTTAAAAACAAATAATAATTTCATCTTTGTTATGTTACCATCAAGCTCCAAACAACAAAATTAATTTCCGTGGACTTATCATTCATGAATCGATATTCATCTATTTTCCTTTTTGTATTCAAAGTCTAATAAAACTTTCTACAGTGAAACATAATGCTTCAGAACATTTAGTCTAATGTCACGTCGATCACCATTGACACTAGAGGGCGCTTCAAACTTAAGGAAAAACAAAGGACTTTTAAATATTGAAGGCATGCCACTATTTCATTTTGATCTGTTTGTCAAGAAAAACCTCTATCAATGAAGTTGAAGCCGTTTTTTTGTATGTCATAAGTTCATTTTATGTAAGGTAGATGTGAAGAGCAGAAAAATTTGTGTGTATTGTTTACATATCCCACGAAAGTCATGTTTATATGGAAACATGAAAATACAGTAGACTAGTTAGACCATAGAACAAAATATTGAAAATAGCAAAATAGCAAATTGTTAGCATCGGTGCTGGTCAGTCCTCTTTTTCTAAGCATGTAATAGCTAGACTTGTGCAAGGACATTGCTAGATAAAGCAGTAATGAAAATAATCCGTTCATTCATGATGATTCAACAATTAATTCAAGAAGTAGGCACAAAAAACTAAAAATTCGATGAAGAAAAGAAAATAAACAAGAATTTCTCATCAAATGAATAAATGGGTTATTTTTCTTGAACTGTACATGTTGAATTATGAAACTAGATGTCACGCAATATATGAATGTGTAAATATTAATTATAAAAGTATTTCTTTGTAGAATGTCATATGACTTTGAAATGGGTTTCAAAAATGAAGAATGATATCCTTTGCTGATGAACACCTTGCAACAAAGAGTAACGGAAAAGTTACATGCTATGACCATACTTAACTATTTTTGAAATTCAAAAATTTCAACCAACTTTTTATGAAGCGAAATACTAAATAAACTCACCCCATTCTTTAAAAGCTTTTTCAGCTGCAACAACATCTCCCCTAGCTAACTGAACTAAAACTAAAGCTACCGTCAAACGTCCTGTTGCCTGATATGACTCGTTCTCCTGATGAAGTCCTAATTCCCGCCGGATTGCATCTGCAGCCAAGTCATATCTATAATAATGACAAAACATTTGCTGTAATAGTCAATAGACCATATCAGATAAGGAGTTTGTTTGGAGAACATGTATTTTTCTTCAATTAGCTACTCTTTGAACATGTCATTAATGACAGCTGTCATATTTAGATGATGTAAAGGTCCATATCGGAGAATTTTGTTTGGAGCACATGTAGTTTTTTCTAGCTATACCATTTATTTATCATTTTGAATAGTCTTAACCTAGACTTGTTAAGCAGAAGAAGAGAGAATGATCATTTATATTTATATACAAATTAATTAATGGCCTTATTACACGCCCGGAACTTCTCGAGAGGATTCACTTACATGTGCCAAGGAGAACTCTCAGAAATAATGATCTTTTTCACGTTTCCTTCCATTATACAAACTATGGAATGCACTCTCCTATTGATCGTTCACTTAGAATGTTCAATGAAAAAACCTACATCTAGAGGCGACAGGTAATAGGCCTGTCAAAATTCAAATATCATATGAGAGCAATAAATAAATAAGTAAATTAGGGTCAGTTATCATAAGTAGTTAATATTTAGTTAAAATAAGGTCCTAAGTAATTAACATGACAACTAACATCAGTGATAAACAGAGTAGCCAACTTAGAACAATAATAATAATAAAACATTTATTTCACCACATTACATAATAATGCATGTGCTCCAACTGAAATTTTTATTTGATATGGTGTATTCATTCAGTATAAGATCAGGAAATAACTTTTGTCTGATTTCTACTAGGTGTTAAAAATAACGATTTGATGTTGGGAAAAAACTCCAGTAATATTGATTTCTACTAAGTTTTTTATTTGTTACGACCGGTTTCGGTTTGTTAAACCATTCTCAAGTAAACTTTCACTTTACTTGAAATAAATAGGTGCAGAAATAACGATACTTACTGTTGGAGTTTAACATGTAACCTAGCAATTTTACTTGTGTACTCCGCAGCTTGCCTTGTACTATCTTGGATCTGCAAAATTAATGCAAAATAAAACTATTTATTCCACCATATAATTACATTGAATTTAAAATGATCAATAAATTACTATACTTTACCCAGTAAGACCTAATCAAATCCAAAGCTACCCCACTAACTCCATAAGTCCATAACACTGTAATTTGTGTATAAGTAAATTATGCTTCGCACAATCAGAGGCGCTAAAAAAATCTATGAAAAGACTACATATTTCCTCTCAGAATTGTTCTCCTATCTTGAAGCCATGGTGATTTGATGAGACAAGTTTATTTGTGATGTGGCAAAAAGGTTATACTTGTTCTACAAGTTTTACATTTAAAAACATACCAGAACAATCTCGGCGGCACGCTGATATAACTTCAATGCCTCTGGAGGATACTGGGACTCAAGAATTTTTGCAGCTTTATCTAGAGAAGATGCAGCAGACTCTGGGTTTCCATGAGTCTGATACATGTTTGCTGCTCTTTCTGCCAAGGTTGGAATATCTCGCAAGTCTCCCAGTTCCTTGCATACTAAGATACATTGATCAAGAGCTTTCGCTGCATAAAATATTCTGGTTCTAAATTAAGGAATAACACATTCAAATAAGTAGATCACTGTGGCAATATCTCAATAAACATTGAAATAAATAATTGTTTTAATGGCTCCTGCTATTTTGTGAAAAAATTTCAATTTTGTTTGCTGATCACGAATTTGAACTTGACGCTACAATCTACTTTTTGAGATTTGGCCACCCAAAATTCAAAACCACTGTCTATTGCAAAAAATACAGAAATGTTGGAGAACATGGCAAATTAGAAGAAATTCATAATTCATCCCTAATATTTCTAACAACAGAGATACAATTCTAGTTTCTTTCATTCGAAACTGAATATATGTATTGCGGAGTTTCCACAGATGCAAATTATTTTTACAATACAAGGTATGTCAAGAAAAATACAATTATTTCCTGAGAAAAGTGTTTTAGGATTTTTTTTGACATTGAATAATTTCTGATACCAATACGAATTTTTCTAAAGTGACTGTCTAACTTGATATGAAGTTAACAGAAGTATATTTTTTTTAAAATAGGTTCCCTACCTTCATATAAGTGTTAAGGTCTGATTTCACATTTATGATCTTCAGACAAAAATTATTACACGTTTTTCAAAGAGGAACGAGAGGTATCAGAACGAATATTTACCAATAGATTGGTTGAGATTTGGTAGACTTGAAATCAATTATAAAAGGATACGCTCGATTCTGCTTGAAACAATCTACGGCTTTCAATAAACAATCCTTGCACTGTTCAAATGATTTTGCGTTTCTGAAGCATGTAGCTGGAATATTAATAATTTATTAATTCACAAAGTGGAATGTAGAGACAAAGTTATAGGTGTCTACAATTTATGTTATAACAATGAAAATGAAATGTAATTTCAAACCTGCTTTGTTATATTCATCAGCTGCACTTTCATAATCTGGTCGCCATTTCAGCAGAGAAGTTTTAAGACTGAAATAATAATCAAAAATTAAATTCTATATGGTAAATTTTATTTCCAGAAAATAGAGAATCGCAAAATTAAATCTTCAGGTTCCTACCTTTTCTCTGCATTTCTAACGTGTTCCAGGCCTTCCTCCAACTTTTTATTTGTTGTCATTTTTTAGTCTTAATTTGAATGAGATACAAATTTTTGCAATTTTACTACTTTCATTAATAAAACAGTGACAACACACTGACACTGACATACACGGTGTCAAATCGATAATCCTCTTCTTTTTTTAATTGAACTAATCAGGAAGTGACATCTTCAATCTACTAATTGAACCATATTCTCAACACCTGACCAAGTGCCCTCTGATGACAAGAACATAAGTTTTTCACAGTAAATATAATTTAATTATACAAATTACTTTTTTGTACCAGAAAAGTTACATTTCAGAGACAAATATAGTAGAGAATAATTTTTGGGAAAGGAAGTATTTGACCTTCTACTTCTCAATCTTGATACAAAAATGTGGGAAACTTTCAAAGAAATGAAGGAAGCAATCGATTTCAAAAATTAACTCTATACAAATAAGACATGAACCGGAAGAAAAAAACCCTCTCGAAACAGCTATTTTAATATAAATATTGAATTACACGAAAGAAAAATACTTTGGAAACAACTACTTTTATATGGACATTGATTTATACAAAAAACACTTTTTTCTATTCAGTTTCTACTCCAAGCATTCGTTATGAAATTGATTCAGATATCATTCATAGGGTTGCTATCCAATATCGTGTATGAAAGACATGAAATTTCACTTACATGGAACACTGACATTTTCAATATCGAATGACAGTGTTCCATATGATTGTTCATCCTCCGTTTTCATACACGGAGAAAGCTATTCTATAGTGAAACACGTGTTATGGTTCTATGAACTGTTCAGTGAAAATGTCACAATAAAGTGTCACTTGAATACTAAATCAATTCAAAATATAACCACAGTGGTGGTAGTGAGTTAACGGTGGTATTGATTGTAATATTATAACACACCCGTTCACATTATGATTTTTGAAAAACTGTCAAATTTCAATTTCGAAGTGTTTCAAAAGTTCCTCATCAGTATGTCCTTCATTTAGACATTCATCTAAATTTGATCATACCAAACCACAGAGATTCGTTAATGTTTGTAGTGATATGTCCTCCCTCAGTCCTCTAGTGTATATTACTGGGACTAAGGGACTCTAACAGCAAGGCCATTCAAAAAAAGAAGATGAACGATATAACTCATTTTGTGAAAAAAGGTGGGAAAGCTATGGAAAACTTAGACAAAACATAAACACTAGAAACAACGTTAGTATTCAATTTTATTTATTCAAAAACAATTCATTGAACATTACATTATTATCCATATATAATGGCGGAGAAGTTAGAAGACCTGAACTTACCCAACGCCTCAGTGCAAAAAATAATCAAGGAAGCTCTACCGGATTCTGTAAATATTGGTAAAGATGCTAGATCTGCTCTTTCTAGAGCAGCGTCAGTTTTCGTTTTGTATGTTACCTCGCAGGCCTCCAATGAAGCACAAAAAAGCAGCAGGAAAACATTGGTTGGAAAAGACGTTATCAAAGCTTTAGAAGAATTGGAATTTGAGAGCTTCATTCAGCCTATGGAGGAAGCATTAAAAGGTCAGATATTCATTAAAATGTTTGATATAACTTTATGGCCAGAAACATTTTCTCTTGAGGTGGATTCGTCTACCAGTCTTGACATGAGAGTCATGGATAAAAAGTGATAAAAGAAGGTGATACTTGATTTTCAATAGGAACATTTATGCACACGTTTAAACTCATGATTCAAGACTGGGGCAATAATTCACTTTTATTTTAGTAAATTTTCTACCATGCTCTCATTAACTACTCATCATTTGTCGAAGCGGTTCGATTTTAATTAATATTTGTATGTTTGATTTTAGAATTTAAAAATTCAAAACCAAAAAAGCAAGTAAAAGCGAAGAAATCCAATGAAGATGATCACAATGAAGCAGAAGATGATCATAATGACACAGTAGAAGAGATGAATCAAGATGAATGAATTTTATTTAGTTACATTGAATTGTTCATGATTAGTTGTAAGGGGTTTGTTATTTTTGTTATAAAATTACTAAGAATCAAATTATTTATTATTGACTGTGCAGATGAGCAGTATCATAGCTGATTCGTACACTAAATAATACATTTTTTACTCTAAGAAATTTGGTGTATGAATCAGTCATCACTGTTCATTATATATGAATCTGAGGGAGCTATTCTGCTCAAAAATAATATTAAGGACTACCTGAATTTCATGTAAATACAGCTATGGGTTGTATAGTCATAATTTATTGAGTTTTTTCAGTAACTTGCAGAAATAAAAGTTAAATGGAAAATGTATGTTGATATGTATATTCGAAACATTTTCAGCGTAGATCAACTTATGTACTAATTCATGAAGTTGTCATTATGTAAATAAATGAAAACATTCATGCACCGCATTTTAAATTCAGTGTGGTATGTGGACTTCAAAGTCTTGGCTTAGGATCTCCCCTAAGATGCGTGTTCGTTAGGAGACTGTAAGAAATAGGATTCTCAAATCTCTTCCTATTTCTGACAAGCTGTACATTGTGACAACTTTGTTAAAGTTCAAATACTGAGTTATAATGATTGTTTCCCTTCATTCAGTAGATTTCCTTGGCAGGTTCAGTTGATATAGAAATAAACTTACTACCAATGAAGTTGTGGTAGCAAAACGTGTCTAGAATTGAAAAAAATAATTGTGAAAATTTTGTAATTATTTTCATGGATAGCGTTATTAATTTTCATCAACGGCCATCTGCTGAAATTAAGAATATACTCGTGTTTAACATAATAAACGATAAAGTTGTTAGTGTTGGAGATTTAGCACTGCGAGCATTTGAAAACTATTACCTGTAATTTTCTGATTGACTTGGCCGTTACTTGAAGATCCACAGTAATTTCACAAATTACACTGGGAACGATTCGATCTTCACAAGCTTTAAGTTTGTGAAGATCAAATCATTTCCAGTATACTTAGTGATATTACCTGTAACTTTGCATTCATAGACTAGCGCATATGGACATTTTCTAGAAACTAAAAAGGGAGTTATTAAATAGGATCTCAAAATATTGATTTGCTAAATTTATACAAAAAATATTTTCAAATTGGTCTTCTTGACTGCTAGAAAAATATTGTAATGTAAACAGATCAATACAAAAAAATAACAAAAAATGTCAGGAATTCGCAAAGTAAGTCTCACCCATATCTCTCCGCAATCAGCATAAAACTCCTCAGTTTTAACAATGCTTCTCTGCAGACATGTTTTAAGTACCGATATATTACACGTGTTTTTCTACGAAATCGACGGTTATAAACAATTTTGATCACACAGGTGTCGCAAAGTTTGTTTTGGTATAAGGTAACTTTGTGAAATCTCTTTTTGAAAAGGTACCTATATAGTTCGTGGCTAAAAATAATACATATCGATATTAAGAAAATAGTTCAACAGAATAGTCAAAATAGATCTTTATTTAAGAAAAAATTAGAATTTTGAATATTCAATTTTTATACATATTTTTTTATTAGTAATGACTATTCAATTAAACTATTATTATTGTGTATTTTAGGCACATTCTGAACTTTTCGAAAATAATGTTTCATAAAGTCACCTCATACAAAGTCAAATAGGAATAAATTTTGCAATTTTTGATCACATTTCAATAGCCCATTTCGATTTTGTTTAAAACACATTCATTATGGCGCTACTTCAAAGAAAACGAATCTAAAATAAAGAATTAGTAATACTAAGGAATTTTTTGTAGACTTTGCCATATACTATCGGTGTTTCGATATTCTGTGATTTCCCTGATACTTATTTTGCAATAGTGCCATTCACAAAAAAGTCATCACATGTAGCTGAAATTTTGCGTATGAACTCAATATTGTATTTGGGAAAACTTTTTCAAATACCATTTTTTGATATTTTGAAACATAACTCCACTTTTTGAAATTCTTTAGAAAAAAAATTTAATGTGAACCACATGACTAATTTTTTTGATTTTTCATCTCGATCGTAGCATAGATTGATGACAAAGTTAAATTTCAAATGGAGCTATAAAATATCCCAAATGATGCGGACTTCACTGGTCACACTGTATATACTTGGATGATATTTTTATCTCACTTTTTATTTATAAGGTTGCGTTCTGCAGCTGTTCGCAAACTGTGTTAATAGATCCTGTAGTGATAACATTGAAACCAACCACAGTGGAATTTCTGGGGAATTTTTAGCTTCTTCAGCTAGTCATCTAATTGGTAAATCTATCGTTACTTTGTTACTTTACGTATGATTTTCCTTGTTTCTAAAATTGAAAGTATATCTAACAAAATAATGAGTCCTTTTTATTTTCGACTGTCAAATTGTGAGAAACGGTATTGTCAGAGATTTTTAATTTTCAGTTCGATATATTCATATATTATAGTTCCTTCATTAGGAATCACACGTTAAAAGGTAAGACCTAATTAGTCTTTAGCTCGCACAAGCTTCGACCTCTGAGAGTTGTCGTTCGTAGGGGTGCGATAGCTGATGGTTAACGGTAAAAACATATTGTTTTTCAACATTAAATTCATTTATTTTCATTTTCACCTAAATTCCTGAGTAAATTTTAATTACAAATTTCAGAATGAATGATCTGGCGAAAATACCCGAACAGACATCAATATATGTAAATTAACATTGGGCTTTAGGTCATATCTACAGTCGAATTCCCTGCATATACGAGGTTTGTTCAAAAAATAAGGTGAATGTTCAAATTTCGCGAGCTAGTACATTCGTTAACGATTTTTTAATGTTGGTACACTCGTTTAGAACATATGTCCAGAGTTTCAGTTGTTTAGCATGTTTAGTTTGTTCGTGAGAAATATAAAAGTTAGAATTGTTTTGCGTGTTCGGCTTTTTTTTGCTTTCGAAAAAAATGGATCAAAGAATTTGCATCAGATTCTGTGTGAAACAAGCAATTGAGTACTCAAAAACGCCTCTGCAGCAACTACCTCAGCTGCAACCGATGAAAATGTTAAGAGAATGAAGAAATATTATGGAGAATCGTCGATATACTTAAAGAGTTGCTGAGGATGTCGGAAGATCGGTTGGCTTAACAATTTTTTCGTAAAAACCGTTGCATAAGCATCGCTCAGGAATTGTTGGATGACGTCAAAGGGTCATGACTGGTGATGAATCATGAGCATATGTTCCTGACATCAAAACCGAAGTCCAATCGTTGCAATGGAATAGCCCAGAGATTTGCCCCCCTGCAGCTATTTCCTGTTCCCAAGATTGAAGAGTCTCGTGAAAGGACGGCGTTTTGCCACGATTGAGGAGATAAACATCGAATCGCTAAGAGAGCTCAAGGACATACCAAAAAGTGCAAATCATAACTGCATTGAGGATTGAAAATTGCATTGATGTTTCACGACAGGTCATTTTCCTATGACCACCTCAAGTATTTCCCGATGGGGCCACATATATTTCAATTCGAACATGATTCTTGGGTGCCTTCTAGCGTAGTGGAGTTCTTAGTTTTCTTTTGGTAGCCACTGCATATTCATAGTAGATTGGGTTTGGTGATCAACGCCAAATCTGAACTTGTGTCAACAGGCAAGTTTGGTAGAAAAGAAACCAGTTCTATAACATTATTGAATATGTGGCTTATAGTATTATTCACATTCTGTGACAAAAACTTCGTTAACATTTTCTGACAAAAATTGCTAATAGTGCTAAACGCTGTTCAATGAGTTTCATAGATACAGGAAAAACGTAGTTTCGTTAATTCGGAGAGAAGTTGAGTGTTTACTCCAAATTGTAAATAGGAAAAAAACACGGCCAGCGAATCATCAATATGTCGACCAGTTGAACCATTAGCCACTTCCAATTTTCTACAGCATTGCCAAATGCTCAGACTACGGCTTTAAATTCGAAACTTCTGGTTATACGTTTGAAGTCTACATTATACGATGGCATAAAGGATCACAAACGATTTTTTAAATCACTTAATTCCGAGTTTGAAGTCAGAATGTAACGAAATTCCGAATTCAATTCAACAAAAATTTCGTGATTAAAGTCAGAGTTTCACAAAATTAATGTGATTGAATTGTGATATCATTCAATGAAACAATTCTAAATATTAAACATAATGATGATATGTCGATGAACTTAAAATGAAGAACAGGGACAACTCCTAAAAGGGTAATTCTCAATTGTGTTTTATTTTTAGTTTAGAGTAAGAATATAAAGAATTGGATTGCTTTTCTGTATTGGCAACCGTGTATTTCAATGTAGTTGAGGCCGCTGAAAGTTAACTAATAAGTGATTACGTGTTCCACTGACAAAAGAAATAGGAATACACTAGACACTGAACTAGTGAAGTTAAATATTTTTAAAGGTGCTTAAAATTCATTGTTTTCTTGAATTATTGCACTCAGCTTCCACCAATAATTTTCTAAATTTAATTAAGTGTGTTATTGTTCTGTTTTTGGTAAGTTAAACCTGAATTTTGATTCATCCGGATTGTGAATGGTTTGTTATTATTTGTCTATGGCGGCCCTGATTCTTTGAATATGTCGGGTATTTACAGAGAGTTGTTAATCATACCTTCAAACCCATATGCACTGTTGGTTAGGAGTTTTACTATCCATAACCGTTAGAATGTTATGTTAATTGAAATTGACATTTAATATTAAAAAAGAGCGGTAATGGGTGGAAAAATCTTAGAGTAGAAATCGACGATTCTAATTTTCCGTTTACTGATAATGTTAAACTTGCATGAGTGTAAAGGCGAAGAAAATAAGGTATTAAAGCAAATCCAATAGTTCGAACATGCATTATGTTGTCAGTATTATATATGAATGGTGTTGCAGTTTAGTTGGCTTTTGTCTTTAGATCTGATTTCAACTATTTTATCATTATCACAATTATCTCCTCTAGATTAGGATTTTTATTTTTGGACAAGATAATTTTGAGATTGAATTCCGTTTAGAAATGATAACTTCATTGTGCAGCAATTCTATTATGTTTTTAATCACATGTACTAATGAGAGAAAAGGAAGATAATTTGATCATATCTATCATCAAAGTAGGTATTTACTTAAAATTGAAGTTCACTAATATTTTGAAAAAAAGACATTTCGCAATGTACTCGTTTTTAAAATCAACCGATATCGTCAAAATTGATCTCTACGAATAAAACACCAGTTTAAAAAATATACAGTTCTGGCCAAAAACTATACAGTTCTGGCAAAAAAAAATATTTAATGGTCGGATATAATTCAATATCCGGCGTGGTATTAGCAAGGGAAATAGTTGGGTTTCGGCAGGAATTTACCAGAACCTATTTGCTGTAGGTAGTTGGAAGAGATGGATATTTGGAAATATTTATTTTCTTATGTTAAATTTGTATTGATAATTCTGGTTTAATAGTTTTGAATCCAGATTATTATTATTGAAGCATTATCAGTTGCAGTTTTTTAGTATTGAATGAAACCATCATTGAAAAGACATGTCATTTATTTGAAAAACTCATACGTGTCTATTACGTCAGATATTTTGGGTTTATATTATGATGTTGTATTTGTAAAGAAAATTACTTTTTTATAAAAAATGTAATCTACAGATCGACTATTCTAACTATTAGATTCTTAAAAGAAAAAGTGAACACTGCCACAGAGACGAAAAACGAAAAGTTTGTTTGATTTCAATATATTTTTGAAATGTATTTGACATGTTTCGCTTTAAAAAGTCTGGAAATTGATTTATTCTTCTCGAAAGTAAGGTTTTGAGCCTCCATGATCTTCATTTAATTCCTCTGTTCCAAACAAATTTCTCTCTTTCTATGTCAGTTTCAGCACATTCAGTATTTATATCGTTTTCATCCAACTTGATTGAATCTGTTCCACAATCATATCTATTGTTGATCCGTTTGAAATATTTTGTTCAAATCGTTCATCTCGTTTACACTGATATTTTGTCAATTGACAATTCTTTAATTCTATTTTTATTTGATTAATTAATCTCTGTTTTTGTTAATGTAAAATTCCCTAAATTTCAATGAAATCGAAAAAAATTATATCTTTACATTTTTGAAAATGAAGATCAATTAAGAAAATTGCAAATATATTGAATTAATGCTCGTTACAGAAATAAATATCACATACCTTTCTGCAAGAATGATACATTTCTAATCTCCTATCTATGATGGTTTATGCGCATTTAACAAAATAAAATCAAAGTGAAAACTGTGCTGATAGTCAATTGAAAAAAGGGAACAAAATTATTTCATGTCGTTTTAGAATCCCCCAATATTTTTTTAATGTTTTGTCCTCATCTAATAGATAGATGATAGATGTATTTGTATTATTCATAATTGAAGGATGACTCGACCGATTTTCATGGTTTTTGATTCGTTGAATTTGTTTCTTTTATTTTATTTTTCATTTTCATTTTTCTCTTTGTGTATTTGTCTATATGTTTAAAATATATTTCAAAATTCCTTGAGCACTTCAAATCACAAAAGAAAATCCGTCTCGAAGGACCAAAAACATGTAGCTTCATTAGATAGGTGGACTGTAGTATAACATAGGGTTGTATGATTTGAGGAAGTTCCCAATAGAATTTTGTTCAGGACACGAAAAAAGAGCGAGAGAGATTACGTGGCTGTGGTTCTCATCTGAGTGTATGTCGGCTCTAGTAGCGGCTTGTAGAGAGACTTCTGGTTCCAGGAGGATGATCGTAAGAACCCGTTAGATCACACAACACTAGCTGGCCAGCAACTTTCTTAATTCATTGAGTAGGTTGTCGAATCACCTGAGATGCTTTCTGTAGCGAGTCTATACATATGTCGAATCCCTGTTGTTCTGCTACTGTTTCAGCGACCGACCAAATATATTGATACGAGGAGCGCTCCATATATTTAATAAGAATAGGAAACAGCCGAATTTCGCGTTAAATGCAAATTTTGCAAATTGATTGAAATTCATCAATAGACAAACACACATAGAGAAAAATGAAAATAAAAAATAAAATGAAATAAAAGAAAACTGGTGAAGACGGAACAACGACTTTTGATTCGTCATGGCTAATTGTTCATCATAATAGAAGCAAAGACACGAATATCCATCACACTGTTACTCACAAGCAAGTTGATATCTTTTTTCAAACTAAGGCTTTGTTTGACATGAATTGTATTGTCATTCCGATCATCAACACCCTATACAAACAGATCTTGAGACAAATCTTTCAAATTTGAAATCATTAGTTAATTGAAAGAGATTAGAACGGCAATATTAATATTGTTCTTCACTTAATTGGGAAATTAAGTAAAGAACAATATTAATTAAGAAATAAATTGGGAAAAGAAATTGGGATTTATTAAGAAGAATATTTTTTTGTTAGGAATCACACGATAAAAGGTAACACCTCGTTAGTCCTTAGCTCGCACAAGTTTCGACTTCTGAGGGTTGTCGTTCGTAGGGGTGCGACACCTGGTTAACGAAAAAACATATTTTAAACATATTTCATGAACAAATGAATATTTGAGGAATGTGAAGCCAAAAAGTTTGATTTTTATCGCTGCAATTTCTTCTTCCAATCTAACTAATATTCAGGTTGATAAACTAAAAACCCCACGGAGCAGTATTTCACAGACAACCAAAGTTGTGTACATAAAACCCGGTACTTTCTCACAGGCTCTATCATTACTTTCAATCAAGTCAGCTGAGTCAGCATTTGTAATTGAAAAATCGTGCCTATTAGATAAATAATCTAACGCGTTTAACAAAAATATATAGTTCTTTCATGGAGGTTTGCTAGTGAATGGCTGTTGCACTTGGGATTCCCCTAATGCAGTGGGGGAACTTCTCTCTTTTCTCAGCTTTCAGAAACTAGCACGAAACATTTAGTGTTGGTACGTGATACATTTGATGTGTGATTTGAATTTGATTTTCATCGACTACCTTGTGTTTGAGATATTTCTTTTTTTTTTTCGTGATTAGGGTAAGAAGTAAGAGCGTAGGTGGCTTTGTATTATAGGAATCTTCAATAAAATGCGCCATACGCGTTTTTTAAACTAGATTCACTCTCAAACCAAAATCGAAATAATTCAGATTTTGTCAGTACCTCATAAGTTCTGCAACTGGCAGTTATTTTTGCGCCGTAATTATAACGAATACTATTTTCTCAGTTGCAGACGACTGACGCCCCATAATGGATATAGAAGAGAAAAGATATTCCCAGATGGAAAATGTCTTGAATAAAATCAATCAGAAATATATATCTCTGCCAAAGGATCAGAAGAAAATAAACGGTAAAATTTTAGAAACGGTTGGTATATCTCATATTTATTGTACGTATTGTATAAGACAAAATATGTTATACAATTTTTATACAATGTTTTTATCGACGGATTGACTCATAATCATTTCCTAGATTTTATGAATCTATGCCCAAAATAATATCTATGAATAATAAATTTGTCCAGTATGAATTGTATAATATAAAAGTGAATAATGCTTGCTAATTAATTTCATCAATACTTTTTATTCACAATCATAAAATGAAACTGGACCAAGGACTGAATCTTGCAGTACCCTGTACATGGTGAGCACATTCCACATGTTAGTTTGTAGCCCCTGATTTTTGACTTGTTTTTCTTTATACAGTGAGCGGCTAAATTATGGAACACATTCGTTATTTCACAAGCAATAAACTTTTGAGAAAACTCCTGAAATAGGTCGATTTTTATTTTTGAATACCGATTTTTAAATGTATATTTTGAAGATATTACGTCACTGGTTTTGGCGTAGTGACGTCATTGGTTAGTTTTAATTGAAATGTAGTTTTGTGATAATTCATCTGAAATGTCTTTCAATACTGCATTCAGTGATCATACATTTGATATCTTTGTACTGGGTGACCAAAAATCAATTTTATTTCAGTTAGAGAATAACTGTATATGCTGTATATGTATATGCTGTTTATGCTGACAGTTATTCAAATAAATTGAATAACTATCCGCTGAGGTATCCAATGTAGACCCATAACAATGGAAAGAACTCTTGAAACAACCTAATCTTTTTCTACTTGCAACTGTCGAAGCTTTAATTTTCCCTTTTTTTATTGAAACCCAAATCAACAATCGAACACTTCATATATTCAGGGACTATTATTTTGTCGTCACGTCAAATTTATACAATATGAAAACAAACAACAAAAATACAACACAATCGATTTATATTCTTCGTGAGGTCGTAATCGACCTCGGGACTCTGGCTTCTGCTTGCATCTGGTCAGCCTTTTCCTGATCGGAGACGGTGTGGGATGGCATCACTTTAACCGGATCTGGGAACGGGTTTGCCAGTTTGGACGATTTCAACGGAAGGATGACGTTTTTCTGCGTTTTCGAAACGGCGAAAGACCTGTAACCTGATAAAATACCGATGAGTGGTGCTACCTTTTTTCGAATAAATTAAATATGTTTATCCACGATGAATTTTTATCAATATATAATCCTAGTAATTCAACAGGATTGGTATAACTTATTGAATAGTTACCAATAATAAAAAGATTGGTACTACTGTTAATTATTCTTTCAGAAATATTCATATACGAACATTTTTGGAAATTTAGAGTTAGTTTATTCTTTCGAAGCCAACTTGAAATTTGTTGAAGTATATATTTGTGGTATCATCAGCAAATAATCTTACTGATCCCTTCAGAGGTGAATTTGTTAATGAGTTAATGTACATTTTAAAAAAAGGAGTGGACCAAGACAAGATCCTTGCGGTACCCCAAAATGTATTTTTCTTGTGAAACTTTTTTGATTTGCTATGCAAACATATTTCTATCACTTATATAATTTACAAAACAATTAAGGATATTCTCTTTAATGGCAAAATTATTTAGTTCTGAGATCAGAATATCATGATGTGCAATATCAAATGTTTTACAAAAATCTGAAAACACGGGGCAACATATTTCAATATTGTCAATTCCAGTTTGAAATCACATCCATTGCTGCTGCCTCTGTATCTCTAGACTTACGAAAACCATACCGACCACGTCATAAAAGATTATTGTTCTTCAAATAATCGGTTGATATTTTATGCATCAATCGATCCAAAATAAAAAAAAAACGTATAATACCGAGATTGGACGGGAGTTGTGAGGATCATCTTTTTTGCCATTTTTACACGATTTATATTAGCTTCACCTGTATGTATTTATGTATGCTTGTTTGTATGTATGTTTGTTTGTAAGCTCGGGATCTGTACTGACAGAATTATCAGCATTATTGCTTGATCTATTCCTTTGATAGGTTGTTCAAAAAAAATCAAAATAATAAATATAGTTTAAAAAACTAAAAAACACGCTTTTAAAGAACATGAAACTGATCACCTGAGATGCTTTCTGTA